TCTCTACATAATTTGGACTGTTTGAAGCTCGAGCAGCTCATAAAATTAAAGGTTTTTAATTTGATTAAGAGTGAGTCAGAAGCTTGATTGAAGTCAGAGTTATTAATGATTTTTATTGCTCTTTGTTGTAATATATATATGTATATATATTGGTTAGAAATGCTCTTCATTAAGGACACCACCTGTCACTGGTTTAATATCATGCAGTTCCTCACTGTGACCACCTGAGGGCAGTAACATGTCATCAGTCAGTAAATCTTTGCTGATAGTGTCAGTGATTCTATCAGTTTAATAATATCTGTGTTCACATATAAAGCATCATTATCACACTAACAAACATTAGTGCTGAAACACTGCAGTGAATGTGTCCTAATGCCAGTATTATTGTATATGAAGAGTAGTAGTTACTGACAGTGACCACTGGAGGGCAGTGATCCTGATAGTTTCTCTGAAACAGTCCAGAAGCCTGTCAGTGAAGCGGGATTGGACGCTCAGCCACGTAACTTCAGCTATAACTGTGTGTTTTCACTGTGATGAAGGTGCTTCATTACCATGGAAACCTCACATTCACTAAATACTCTTTATACAAGTTATGCACTCTTAGTTTAATACTAGATAGATTCAGACATTTCCCCCAATTCAATCAAATGTTTTTACAGCTTTTCTGTTTCTTATCGAGGCTTTTATTGTGAAACATCAGCAGCAAGAAGTGTGTTTTTCTCTGTGAAGACAAACGAAGTGTAAATCTGTGTGTTGGTGAGTTCACAATCAGTGATTGTGCTTCTCTTTTCTTTCCAAGGCCTCAGAAATGCTCACTCTGTTTGTACATCACTTATTGTCAGCAACAGAGCTCATTCTGCTTTGTGGACATAAACACATCTGTCATCACTTCCTCTTTGTTTTTCATGCAGCATTTTATCAAATTGAAAAACAAAAAAACAACAAATCTAATGTCTGTCAGAAATTTCAGCAGATATTTCACCAGGACACTTTGTGATAGTTTTCATATTTTATATAAACTAAAGTGATACACAACATATGCAAACATATGCAACATTGGAAAAACACAAGACTACTTTCAAATCAGGATTGAAGCCTTTGCTGTTTATTAGATAAGCCACATGCAT